GGCATTTGGAACAAGACGAAAGTTGATTCAGCTGAATGGCTAATGGCGGGCGAATGCGCTGCAAAACACTGTCCAGGCTTCTTCATTATACTCTCGTCTTTCTTAATAGGTGGTATTTTTTGTTATTGCCATGTCTACAGAAAAATGACCACTGCGCCATGTAGTTTTTTTTATTCCACGCATGCGATGCACCATGGTGTTTGAAATGCGAGTGATCTAATCAGAGCTTTTAACCGCAATTTGTGAGTTGAGAGTCCGGTGCTGTACCGATTGAGCTACACGTACTTTCTCCTTAAGATATTTTCTCAGTTACTGTCCTGATGTGCTAGTGGATAACTTCGAAAGTAGACAACTTAGCTTCTTTTCGCGCAACAGTCATGCTATTAATGATTGCTAGGCTTAAACCAAGTTCCTTTGCAGGGTAACTGCCCACAGAATCTCAAAACAAGTGGGACCTTGATATCAAGATCAGCTGATTTTAAGTAACTTATTACGAAATTATCGAAGACGCAATCTTTCATTACTCAGGAATTTTGTCTCCTTTCTACTTTAAACCCACTAAATTTAGCAGTTCAACTAAAACATTAGTACAAAATTATCCTCCATCATCTATCTACTAACTGATATTCATCTACCATAAGTATTTCGCAGCATCGCACATCTACCATTGTGAGACATACACGTAGCTCAGTGAGCATCGATTCAAAAGCAACTACTATATCTACACCATCTTGTTTGCATAACAAGAACATAGAATGTGTAAAGCTGCTACGTTCCTTCAGTTCACAAGCTCCTAGTTTGTGGCCCAGTCAGTAATTGTTGAATCTGGATGTTTCCCGTGATTATAAGCTTGGTCCATGTGCGCAAGAAGTGCGTCTCTGGTTTATGATATCCATTGTATTTAAAACTGTTCAACAATTTGTGCTGTGACGCGGCGGTTACGGCGTCATGGAAGGTGCAATTGTTTTCGACCTTAGAGTTGTCTCTTGTTCATTCATGTTGAATGTTGGTATCCTGATCGACCATATATCCTGGTCTATCGTATCCTGGTTCTAACACTAAAGGTTGGCATCCTGCTGTGAAAGACTGATACTTTAGTGAACTTTTTATTATTATCAAAACCAACTTATTTTTTAATCTCTACATCTGTCAGTAATATCTGTGACCGGAAAAGAATAGTCATTCCTAAATTTTTCCCGCAATTTAGAATTCATTATATTTTGAAGCCAACGCTGCTCAACCATCGTTGTTGGACTTTCTCTTGAATGAAAGTCGTTTTGCCGCATGACAATACGAGCCTGACTGAGGCAACGTACAAGCAATTTTTTTTGAGAGATCGACTGTACCTTCATCGTTCTGAATGTTGGACAGACTATACCAAAAGCAACTGGTCAGCCTCGTCTAGCATTTCACCTCCTTGTTCCACTTGTCTCAGCTGTGCCGACTAGGTTCCTGATGGCTTTTGACTTCCGGGCATTAAGGCAGAGGCCGGCTTTTGCAACTGTTTTATATGCGGAAGCCGTTAAGTGATAGAGCCTGCTCCCGATATACTCTGCTCATCATGACAGTATCATTTGCATACTTCCAGTCAGTAGTGTATCTACTCGTATATCTTGAACTGCATCTTCCATCTAGAATCAGTGCTTCGTCTCTACCAGAGTCGGTATTATTATGGGCGAGAAAATCCAGAATCGAGTGCAACGTTGAATTGCATGGACGAAATTTCTCTGACGAACTCGTACTACAGAGTAATTGGGCACTGCTCAAATAACCCATCATCCTATTGATGTTCCAGAATGGAAACGACATACTCGTGTATTCCAGTACATTTCAAGATTTTCAAAATCTTTGTGCGATGCCTGTAGTCAATGGCAGCTTCAGAGTCAGTGAAAGTTGCATAGCACACCAACTAAAATTTGCAGAAGAGTTAATCTTTGTTCAAGTACGACCCATCCGACAGCGTGCCTAAATTAGACATGGTCTCTCAGAAACTGCGGATCGCAGCATTTCTAAATATTTTCAGAACAGCTTTTAGGAGTTGACGCAACGATGGTTAATGCAGTAGAATGCCCAAACCCATTATATATTGGAGTCATGGCTCAGCGAAAACTAATGTATACATCCTTGCGACGGTACGCAACTAGTAGGGTAGAGGGGACGAATATATAAGTGATTCACCTGACCCAGATATTGCGCGCCTTTTCTCACGACCAGGATTCATGAACCTATCAACATTGTTTTGAACCTAGAGTTTCCTCATAACTCGTGATAGCTGTTTTGTGTTTTTAGGTATTCTTTGTTGTGTTTGTCTACTTCCTCGTCAGAATGTGGAGTTCTTTATTGGATGCCGAAAGAAGGACGATGGAATCACTGTGCATCAGAACCAGACAAAAGAAAGTTATTACCACGCGCTGACAACGGACCAAGCGCTTATCCTATTGGATTCGACATCCAGAAAAATTTGAAGCAAAATTTGACAACCGGTACTTAGTAATAGTTCTTATAATGTAACAGTTCTTTGTAATAGTTCAGTAAAGCATCTTGATTGGGGGTACAGTGACGCAGTTGACAGTGGTTTGGCTTTGCACTCTAGAAATGGAAGGTGGGGGTGCGAATCCCGTTTCAAAATTTTTTTACTAACGACTGATTCCTTTGAACATGAAATTCACTCCATTGTACTTCAACGCAACCAGCCCAGAAACGGTCAGTAAGTCGTTCACCGTCGAACAGTAGGGACTGCATTGCGTTCTGATTTCTGATATGATCATGCTCAAGCATGCTACAAGAGCGGCCTTACTGTCTGATTCGTGCCCCTTATGACTGAAGTTCGTCCTGGCCCACCTGATAGCGGACTGAAATTCCGTTTAAGGTGTAAACCGCAAATAATATTGAAGTATATGTTAATATTATGGAAACGATATGGTACCAATGTATCTTTTAGGTGATTTGGAATTGCCGGTGATTTATGTTCTCGGTTCTGATGGTTTTGTTCATACGTTTCGTATGGCTCCGCCATTGGGCTCGGTTAATGCTGCAGTTCCAATGACCCCAGTTTGCATTTCTGGTAAGAATCAAAGAGCATTCGCTATTTTTTGTTTATTATAAAGGAAAATTTGTAGGTGGCTACTTCAATATGTTGGAAGGTGCAAATTTCTTTACGGCCAAGTTTCCAACAGACTTTTTCCGCGAGTAAATTTTGTCATAATCCCGTCATTCCGGTTTGTGCTACACCCATTTTCAGGGGGTCATTAAGTGACAAAAAATGCAAAGATAATTTGCATTTTTTGTCATATAATCTCCCTTTCTGATAGATCTGGATCGATCCGGAACGTTATCATTTTATTAAATAAAATTTGTATGCATAGTAAACCCTTCAAAGACTTGCAAGATATAGAAGCGAAGAATAAATTATCAAGGAAATTTATCTTGTTTCTGTTGGTATAAAGGATTGTCATTCCTACTCTAACTGCAGTTCTTAGTTTTAGAGAACCTGTAGAAGGAATTATTTGAATCCTCTTGTGTTGCTCACGGTACAATAATATAGGGAAATGGAAAACGGCGATATGCTTGATGGTGATAGCAGATGAAGTATAACAAAATCACGGACAAGAACAGAAAGAAAGCGACGCACTTATTGTTGACGAGGATGAAGATGGTGATTGCATTTGAACTTAAGAAGATTAGGATTATAAAGAATAACCATCTGCAAACTATCTTTTAGAGATTCTAAAACTTGCTGCTGCAACAAGATCACTTAAAAACTTTGCTTTTCAGCATAAAGCATAAATGGAAATTCAATAACAGATAAGTAGATATAAAATGCGAAGAGAACAAAGAATTCATGGTATCTTTTAATTAACGACATTGGCATAACCAGCATTGGAATGAGATATTTAAGGTTCAAGGTTTTGCAAATATTTTACCCAGTTAATTTGAATTGATAACAGAATCATCAGTGGACCATCAAAACTTGTATCTCAACTAATGACCCTGGGTAGAAATTAGGTGCTGATAACTTCACGTGATGAAAACTGCAT